GGCGGGCGCTGTCCCGCCGCCGCGAAGCCCCCCGACCTGAAGGTGAGCCGCGGTGGCACCGGCCGGCGGGTACCGGTGGGCTGGCAATGGGGCGAGCATGCCGGTGGGGTCGCCGGAGGGGTGAGGACCCCTTGGGGTCAACAGTGGGGTTACGAATTGGGCAAGCACCCTATGGCACTACCGTTGGGGTTACCAGTGTGGTGAGCACCCAGCGGGGTGACCGGTGGGACGTACGCCTCGGTGGGGTACCACCATCCCCACGCCCCGGTCCCCGCTCTGCTACAGGTGTGACCTTGGAGGATGTGGGATGGCCCCGGGACGGGGATGCTCCTGGATGAGGATGCTCCTGGGATGGGGATGGTCCCAGGATGGGGATGCTCCTGCGATGAGGATGCTCCCGGGATGGGGATGCTCCTGGGATGAAGATGTCCCAGGTTGGGATGCTCTCAGATTGGGGATGCTCCTGCACTGGGGATGCTCCCAGGGGAGGGTATGCCCCTGGGGTGTGGGTGCCCCCACAGTGGGCCACCTCCCAGGGTCGAGGTGCCTCACGGTAGGCTTGCACAAGCACGCGCGGGGCAGGGCACCGCCGAGGCCGTGGCCCTGCTGCAGCCTGGCCACCAAGAGCAGCGATAATAATAGGGCGGTGGTGGGAGAGGCGGGAGGACCATGGTGACGCCACCCACCCTTGGCAAGGGGGCTGCGGGCACAAGGGTTGCACCCCAGGGCAGGTCTGGAGCGGGCTGCCATCACCCGAGCAGGCTTTTTGGCGGTAACAGGGCTGTCCCCCTGCAGAGGGGCTGATCAGACCCCAGTAAATAACTGCCGGAGTCACCCCACCGCTGAGCGTGGGGGAGATGCTCGGGGGACTGCCAGCTGCACTGATGGGATTAGTGCTGCGGCAGCCGGGAAGCGACGATGTATAAATGGCCCCGAGGCTGCTCCTCCTGTGCCTTCGGGCTGTGTCCGGTTAATGAGGAAAACAAGTTACGCGGCACTGCAGCGCTGCGGGAGGGAAGGGAGCCGGTCCCCGGCGGCAGGGCGCGGGCAGGGATGCGGGCAGGCAGGACGGGGCGGTCCCGGCCGAAATCGGGCAGAAATTTCCTGTGGGTTTGAAAGCGGAGCAGCTCTGTCCCCCAGCCGTTCAACAGGGTCCCGCTGGCGCGGATGCGGTGGGGTTTGATGTTGCAGAGATGAATTCCCTGCTTGTAACTTTGGTGTTTTCAGGCGCTGCAGCACGTTGCGGCCGCGGGCAGAGCGTACTCGTGGCAGCGCTGTCAAAGGTGATGTGGCAGTCACGCCGCGGTCGTACGGAGGTGCCGCTTCCACTCTTTGGTTTCAAAAAGACCTGGACAAAAGTGGAAACTGTCCCTGGTCACCCATGGGCAGCCTGGCACCCAGGTCGGAGACCCCTGTTGTGGAGCACCCCAGCCTGCCGCTTGGCCTAGAAGGTCTTACCGGCACGGTCAAGGTCACGCGGGAGCTGGGAAGCACTGCCAGGACTGCCAGGCTGCTGCCGTGCCTGCACGCATCCCTTCCAGAAAGGCAGCCAGGAAATAAAAAACCCCATTCCCGTAGGAGAACTCGGCTGCTTTAAGCACAAGAAGCCCCATGGTTGCAGGACGCTGCTTGCTGCGATGCACAGTGCCTTTTCCTCGATGTCCGAGCAGCAGCAGAGACCGTTTTGGCTTTGCTGACGTGATGTACAGCTGCTGCTGCCGCCCTAAAAACAGCTGGAGGGGAGAGCCCTGTGCCAGGGGAAGGCAAATCCATGGGGATGTGGTGCTCAGGGCCACGCAAGGCTTGGTGGGGTGGGACACCCTTACCTCAAGGTGGCTCGACTTGGCTTGGCCAAGGTGGTGCTACTCATCCGCATCATCCCCCAGCCTCTCTCCATCCCACCCGGGGCCCTTTTCACCTGCACAGTGAGTCAGAAAGGGGTGGGAGCGTGGGGCAAAAGGAGCCGCAGCTTACGATGGGGATGGCCACCAGGCCAAGCGTTCCTTGGTTGGCACGTCCAGCTCTGAGCTGGAGCTCAGCCTGGTCTGCAGCCCGGTCCAGCTCGCAGCAACAGCAGTGGCCAAACGCCCATTGATTTTATCGGTGCAAGTATGCTACCCTAATGCAGGTTTGCTTTGCGATGCTCGCCTTTAACGCATTTGTAGCTCAGCAATTAATTGCCCGCATGGAGTGAATCCTCAAACTTGCTTCGCCAGGCAGAACGCATGAAAAATTGCGTCTCGGTGCTGCCCACAGCTTCCGCGGCAGAGCTGGGCGCTCTGCCTGGCCCTGCCACAGACACCACCGATTCAGCCACTTCGCCTCCTGTTGCTACAATTAGTGGCATCGTTAATATAATCTTAAAGTTTTCCTGCCCCAAACCCCTTCTGGAGCTGCTCTCCCTGCTCTGCCTTCGCCACGGTGGGATGGGTTCAGCCAAGCTGGTCCTTGGCCCCTCTGCTGTCCCCAGGCTGGCACGGTGCCACACACCAAGATCCACAGATTCATCTCCCCGTGGACGGTGAACGAGCATCAGATGTAAACTTTTGTTTGCTGCCAGCCGAAGGTGGATTTGAGCTGGCAACCTGGAAACAACAGGCTGCCTTGTGTCATCTCCATCCTCACCCCGGCAGATCTGCGGCAGCTCTCCGTTCCTCAGCCCCGACTCCAGCTCCTTTGCCGAGAGCGAGGGCTCCATTAGGGGGAAAGAGAAAAAAAAAGAAAAAGTTCTGGCAAGGAGCAAAACAGATGCATGACACACAGTTCTGCTCAAAAATATGTTGGGTGGCAGGGACTTGTCTGCTTTGCAGCAGAGTGACTGGATCCGTACAAAACACTGCAGAAGGAGACATCCAGCCTCTTGTGGCTGCCGGGGTGTCCGGGGCGTCCCACCACCAAGGTGTTCACTGCTTGGTTCCACTCCCACTTTCCCCAAGCATCTCTGAGCTGAGTGTTTTCCCTGAGTCTCTCTCTCTCTCTATTTTCCCAAATGGGCCGATCTGACCAAGGGCTGAAAGTTGAAGCCTGACATCATTTCCATCTCCAGTTTCACATTCTTGGTCTTCATGGCTCCTGCCTTTCCCTCCTTTGAACCTGAAAGCCAAGATCAGCAGGAGTCCAAAGGCAGTGGCCTAAGCTCTTCCCTTTTCCCAGGGCCTGATCCAAAACTCACATCCATGGACAAAAAGCTTCCCCGGGGCTTCCTGGAGCGGGGGAGCCTCTCCTGGGGAGGAGGGAGATGAAGGACAAGGGGAGGTCCCACCACGGGACATGCAGTCCCCAGCACAGGTCCTGCCCTGAGCAATGGGGTTGGGGTGGGGGTGGCTGGAGGGAACGGGGTGAAGCATTAACCTCCCATTGCCTCATAGCAGGTCAAACCCCCTCAGCTAGTTTATTTTTTTCGAAGGTGCCTCACTACGAGGGGATGGGTCTGGGGGTGCAGACCCCCTGCTGTTGTTCAGAGGCCCCCCCATGGCGGTGCCTGTGCGGGGGGCTCGCTGCAGGGAGGGTGCGGAGGACTCCTCCTCTCCGTAAAGGTCGCCAGCCCCTATTCTAAACCCTCAGGTACATTTATACTTAATCCCCCGCACAAACAATTTTCCAGGCATATTTTGGTCTTGAAAGGACACCGCCAAGGTGAGCCGGCTCCCCTGTGGTTAGTGGGATGGAGCTGCTGTCAAGCAGCTCGAGCAGGAGCAGCGCGGTCCCTGGAGCGGCCGCATCCATCATCTCCCCGGGGCATTGCTCATCAAAAGCTCTCAGGCTGCTGGCAGGGACCCCGGAGGGTCCCCGCTCTCACCGCTGCGGAGCTGCACGCCGGGACCCTCCGGCCCCGCAGGGAGAGGAGAGCATCCTCCCGGGCAGGGTGCAGCCAGAAGCACAGCGTGTTTCCCCAGGGTTTGTGCCAGGCGCGGCGGAGGGGCGAGAGCCGAGGCCGGGGTGCGCTGCCCTCCCGGGATCTGCACGGCGGCGGAGGGGCGAGAGCCGAGGCCGGGGCGCGCTGCCCTCCCGGGATCTGCACAGCGCGTCCCAGCAGACACACGCTTATGTTGGTGTGGGCCGCTCGGCTGAGGCCAAGCGCTCCGTGCCCAGCTGCCTACGGTCCCAGCCCCCTCCAGATCTGACCCCCCAGGGTCCCCATCCTTGCTTCCCACTGAATTTCAGCGTTCAGCATCCCCGCAGTCAATTCAGGAGACGCAGAGGTGACGGTGAGAAGGGGTCGTGGGCTGCCACTCGCTGTGTTATTCCCCCGGGAGCACATCTGGATCCTCTCAGCACCGGCAGCAGAGGTCTTGGCCTGCAAATGCCACCCGAGGTCGGGAGCTCGCGGGGGTCTGCAGCCCCCCCGGCCGGAGCCACACCCGGGCAGTCGGTGCCAGCCCCGCAGATGTTATTCTGGAGAGCACTTAAGGAGCTGCGTGTCACTATAGCGTTTTGGTAGTGCATTAAACAACATGACTAACGTTTGTCACATGTTTGTTCTCTCATCCTGTCCCCGGGAGGAGAAGCGTGTGTGGGGGAGTGCTTTATTTTCCATTTTAGAACATCTATACGTTTTCCTTGTGTGTTTATGGCAGTGGGAGGAGTGGCAGAACGGGGGCTCAGAATGCTGGTGTGAGATAGGGATGTGAGGGGCAGCTGGACTGGCTGCCACCCTGCGGGGACAACCCTGCCCCCGGCCCCCAGCCTGGCTGCTGGCAGTGGGGTGCAGGATGGTGGTAGGACCCCCTTGCTGGGGACCTATAGGAGGATCAGCTGGAGGAAGCAGCAGGAGGACTAGAAACCCCGTGCGGGGGTGAGCAGGACCTCTACGAGCTGCTCAGTGGCTCATTCCCTGTCTCTGCCCACCGGGGGAACGGCTCCCCCCACACCTTAAAATATGGAGTGCTGTGGGATGGGATGGGATGGGATGGGATGGGATGGGATGGGATGGGATGGGACAGGGCGGAACAGAATGGGATGGGATGGAATAGTCTTCCACTGTGTCTGTGCAATGCCTCCAAAGGGCTGCAGAGTCTTGGCTGGAGCCCCTGGGCGGACCAGGGATATAAATAATTAACAATAATAATAATTATCGAGTGGGACTTTGCAGCATGTGGCTGTGCTATAAGGTCACGGCGACAAGATCCCCTCCTTGTGCGTGTGAAAGCCGAGTAAGAGGTTTGGATGTCAGGGCAGAGCTGGAAAACCATTTAGCGAGAAACTGGAAGGTTCAGGCTGCGTGGCCGTTTGGCAGCGGGAGGAACACCGGCCCTGCAGAGCCCGGCACGGCCCACGAGGCAGGGAGGGATGTGCATCCCTGCCATGGCGGGCAAGGGCAGCACCTGCCTCTCCCACGGGACGTTGCCAAAGAGCAGCAGCCCAGACAAAACGGTCATCCAAGTCACTGTCTTCCTGCAAGATATGTTGGTTTGGGTTAAAATGGGTTTTTTCGGCTCTTGGCCAGGTGTGGCTTGTCCCCACGGTGTCCCCGCAGGGCTGGGACTCTGCTCTCGGCGCAGGCAGGGCGGTGGGATGGGTAGGAGGGTTCATGCAGCCCCCTCCTGGCTTCTCACATCTTAGCGATTAGTTTCCATCAGTGGATAAACACGTAAGAAGGAGGCAGAGAGCGCGACTGTGGTCAGCCCAGAGCCATGCTCAGCCAAACCGTGTGCCTTGGGCTTGACCCCGCCGCAGCCAGCAAGAACTGATCCACTTACGGGGACAAGAAGCAGGAGCCGCTCCTTTGAAGTCCACGGAAACAAGTCCCCACCGCTGAGCAGGAGACCCTGGCTGCATTAATGAAAAAGACAAAAGAAATAAAGATATTTTTGTATTAATCTTAGTGTTTTACAGCTGTCTACACTGAGAAATTAATCTCCGCATCCATTGCATCAGTTATTAAGCAACGGCTGTTCCAAAATAGCCCGTGCAGATGCTCTGTTCTGAGCCACGAGTAATTTTGTGCCAGAAAAATGCCTCTGCTTTGGAAGTGCAGTAATATCCTGGAGTAACATAAGAAAACAGAGTTTTTACATCAGCAAATTCTCTGCAATAACCATTGCAGAACGGCTTATTCGTGGTGACCACTCCTGACAACTCTTTAATGTAGACAAGCCTTTAGCTTGACAGGCCGTCAATCTGGTGGGGGTTCAAGCCCAGGAGAGCAGGGCTGGGGTTCCTCTTTTTGCTTCCCCCCCCCTTTTTCCCACGCAGATCTCTTACCGTCCCGCTGGGAGCCCTACCTGCAGAGCCCAGGAAAGATTCTTTCAGGAGAAGTTGGAAAGGGTCCGAGGAGAGGGTTTTTTTTTTTTATAAAAGGTGAATTTCTATCAGATCGAGCTGTTGGGCCAAGAACCCCCTGAGGGCGGCTGGCTTCCACCTCCACGCTGGTGCTGGGAAAACGTCCTCTCCTTTATTGCCGGCTTCGCTTTTATTTTGTTTTCTTTACCCTCCAGGATGGGAGTTGGTCATTTCTTTTCACTTGGACCTTCTAAAGGGCTAACTGTGCATCTGAGGGTATGCCATACCCTTGATGGTAGAAATCTGTGGGTTTATAGTTATTACCTATCTAATGCTGTCTCTGTTTCCATAGAAACTCTATAAATAGAATAAAATTTAAATCACAATTTCCTGAAGTAGCAATTCAGCACCGTAGATTTATTTTATATTTCTCAGGAAAAACCAAAAGGATAGAAATTTTCATTATGAATGGATAACAGAAGGATTAAAGGGTTTGCCTATAGTGTTTAGTGACACAGGATCTAATTGCTGATTCCTTGTCAATATTACAGGTGTGATGAGAATTAGGCCCTTATGGATTTGGACCTGGTGGCTTTAATGCCTGGGGTTTTTAGGAGATGGATTCCTTTCTGTATGGCTGTGAAATCCTCCACAGTCTGCAGCTCCTGGAGGTCGTGTCTCAAACATCACTGCTTTTCTAAAAGCTGGGGCTTTTGCCAAATGTCCGCTGGGGCTATAAGTAGCTCCCGGTTTGGAGCCCGCTTCACGCTGGTTTTCAAGCATGAGTAAATGGCAGCGCCGCAGTTACGAGAACCAGCATCCCTGGGGAGAGCCCCAGCCGCAGTAAATCAGTGGTGAAATGCCCCTGAACGTCAGCAGGGTCAGGACTGGCGTCCTCAAAGGTAGGGTGCTCAGCTTAACTCCAAAATCGAGACAGAGAGCAACAGGGCAGACTTGTGCCTTGTGATCTGCTGAGTTCCTGGTAGCTGAGGCTGCTTCGGGAGGCGAGAAGATCTTTCAGCATCCCAAGATCATGTACTTGCTGTCTGGGAGCTGTGATGGGCCAGGGATCTGAGATCTGGGATCCGCTGAGCCCTTTGCAGATGCTGGAAGTTGCTGCCCATGCCGCTGCCCCCCGGTCGACCACGTGCAGGGGATTGCGGAGGGCACCCAGCCAAAATCTCCCATGAATGCAAATCTGCGCGTTCCAGTGACTGCGGGGAAAATGCTCCGGACTGACCCGGCTGTAATCAGGAGCACGATCTGTTCCACCATCCATATTGCATGACTTCACTGTGGCCGCAGCTAGCGTCCACCCTGATTCCCAGGAGCTGGCACAAGAAAAGTTCTGTGGGAACATGAGTCTCAGCCCCCTGGGAGAGGAAGACCCGGGGGTACCCAGGGGACTGGCGTGCCCCATCTCCTGCTGGAAACCAGTTGCTGCCCAGCAGGGACTGGATTTGGTGGCACTGGGCCACGAGCTGCAATTTCACCCCGGTAAGTGAGGCCAGCCCGGTCTGTGCTGTGCTCGGAGGCCATGGAAGATCCCCCGGGCAGAAGCCCTCCCCAATCCTTCCTGGAGCACGTTTCGGAGAGCAGGTGGCTCCTGGCAGCACGTCGGTGGCCGAGGCTCCAAGGCTGGGAGTAACCATGGCTTTTCTAGCTAAGGAAAAGGCTGCTCCATCCCTGCTGCCCGCAGAGTCGGGGTCTCTGCGCAGCACGTGGCGTTGCCTGCAGCAAGCACCCTCCTCCCTCCATTGCTCTGAAGGGTCTTTCTGCTCCTCTTGCTACTTTTAGGGGTAGTCAGCGCTCATCGGAGACCTTCCCCCGGCGTGGGTAATGCTGTTGGATTAACAACTAATAACTGAGCCGTCCCGAGCCACCATGCTCAGCCCTGCGTGCCATCAAATGGCCACTAATGTTTAATACTTTTCCATGGGTACAAAGTGCAGTGCCGGCAACAAGGCTTGTTCCCTTTCGCAGATCTCTTTGGGCTGGTGTGGGGTCCCTAGAGCCCTCCAGAAGCTCTTTAACCCCTTGAGCTTCGCGTTTTGGTTCGGTGTTAGCGTGGGCATCACCCGTCAGAGCTGTGCGCGCTGAAGCGGGGGGATGCCGTCCCTTCCTGATGGTAACAGGGGTTGTTTTCTCTCCTCTCCTGCAGAAAATCCAGCAGCTGTCCGAAGGGTCCATGTTTGGCCATGGCCTGAAGCACCTTTTCCACAGCCGCCGGCGGTCGCGGGAGCGGGAGCACCAGAACTCGCAGGACTCGCTGCCGCCGCACTACGGCATGTCCGACCACGACTCCCCCGACGAGAAGGAGCGGTCCCCGGAGATGCACCGCGTCTCCTACGCCATGTCCCTGCACGACCTCCCGGCGCGTCCCACCGCCTTCAACCGGGTGCTGCAGCAGATCCGCTCTCGCCCCTCCATCAAGCGAGGCACCAGCCTGCACAGCGGCAGCCGGCGGGCCAAGAGCGGCTCACTGGAGCCCCAGAAAGGGAGCCCCCACCTCGTCCGCAAGACCCCCCAGGACAGCAGCCTCACCGCCATCCTGCATCAGCACCAGGGCCGCCCCAGGTCCTCCTCCACCACCGACACTGCCATCCTCCTGGCCGAGAGCGGGGCCGTCTACCTGCTCACCGAGGACACCGAGTGCCTGGCCGATAAGGTAGGGCTGTGCTGAGGGGACATCCCTGGGTGGCTGGGGGGCACGAGCCCACGCCGGGGGGACCAGGGTGCGGAGCACCGCAAAATGCTGTCGGGGCAGCGCTGGTGGCACCGGGTGTGCAGGATGGCGGACTGCAGCCCCTGCCTGGGAGCGAGTCGGGTCCAGAGGCTGCTGGGGTTGATGCTCCTCTCGTGGGGAAGTGAAGGCAGGGACATGCTCCGGTCCGATTCCCAGAGCGGGATTTGAGGGAGAGAGAAAAGTACCTGGCAAGAGCTCTATGCCAGTGGGGCGGGACCCCCGGTGCGGGGTCGGAGGGGATCCTGGGCAGCCCAGCGCCGGGCGTCTACAAGGGTTCGGCCAAGCAGCTGCAAATTGGTTCCGTCCAAAGTGATTTTTAAATCGTTCTGTGCAGAGCTAATAGAGAGGATGGTATTTCCATCTCGCGTTTAGCCCCGTTAATTATGAAACAGCTGAGATTAGCACAGCGGCACAGCACGCTGAGGACACGGTGAGAGCGGTGAGAGGTGCTCCGGGTGCTGGTGGGATTCTCCGTGTCGGCTTCTCTCCTTGGCCTTTGGAGCTCACAGGGTGTCACGCTCTAAAACCACTTTCTGCAGCCCTGAGGGCTAGACGCATCCTCTTTTTTTTTTTTTATTTACCTGAAAATGCCAGCAGTGAATTGGCAAAGAGGTAGGGCTTGTGGTGGGGAGATGGCCAGGCAGGCTCCGGCACCCCACGGCGGCTCTTGGGCGGGTGGCTGCATGGCTTTTACAGGAATAGCTGTGTAATAGGGTGGCAGTGGCTGGGCAGAGCTGCCGGGGTGGGATAGCAGGAGGGGTGGCAGGTCCATGCGCTCCCCCTGAGCAGTGGGACCCAGCGGGCGCAGGGGCTGGGGTCGATGCTTCCCACGCGCCCTCCCCCCCCCCAGCCACTCCTCTCTCCTTGGCACCGAGTCTCCGAGAGAAATCTGACCTGGAGACTTCTGTTGCCCTCTGAGCTAATGGAAAGAGGATCAACCAGATACTTTTTCTTTCTGTTTTCGCTCAGCTGTTTCAGCGCCGAGCTGCAGCTGACGCTCGTGGTCTCTCAGCTGTTTCAGCGCCGAGCTGCAGCCGACGCCCGTTCCTCCCCACGCACGCCCCCGCCTCCCCTGCCACAGCCGTGCAGGGATGGGGCCGCCGGCGGGACGTGGGAATCTGGTCCCAGAGGAAACGCGTCAAGCGCTGCTCCCCTGCCACAGCCGTGCAGGGATGGGGCCGCCGGCGGGACGTGGGAATCTGGTCCCAGAGGATAAACGCGTCATTGTACTTGCAAGAAACGGCTGCCCAGGTCCTCCTCTCCCCCTTTTACTGTGAGCAAATCGGGGCACCCTGACCCTTCCCTGGCAGTCCCCGCGTCGCACCCAGACCAAGTGTCGGAGCAGGGCCAGGAGCCATTCAGGTTGTTAATTTGAGCATCTGCAGCCAAAATTCCTTGTACCTGGCCTGTGGCATTGGCCTTGCAAGGAGCCCGGTCCCGCTGAGCCCTTGGGGTTACGGCCGAAGCGTCGAGCCGAAGCGGTTCGCACCAGGACAGAAGCACCCAAAGGGAGGCGGGAGCAGAGCAGGTCCGTGTCCACTCGCGGAGCAGCACAAAGAGCACGAATAATTGCTGAATTGCTGGGGATGAATAATTAACTGCATGTGACACAAAGTAATAAGAAGAGAGACGATACTAGGGCCTTTGTGGGGCAGTGGAAAAATAACTCATTTAGAAAAACCAAGAGCTATGTGATATTCTCATGCCATATTATTTTTCCATAGCCCTCAGGAAACCCAGTCTCCTGCCCGCAGCAAACCGGCTCCTCTTCTGCAGGGACGGCTGGTGCTGCCATGCCCTGGGCTTGAGCACACCCGGCATGGCTCCGCCGGACCCCGGCAAGCGGGTTTGCACCGGGGCTTTGGGCCAGCAATCACTTCACATCACCTCTGCCCTGCCCCACCCGGGTCAGACGCCTCTGCCTCCTCCCCGTTTCACCCTCAGTTTGGAAGCTGCCACCCCCGGGGATGCACGGGACTCCTGTAAAAGAGCTGTTTTTCCCCCAGAAATTTCATGCTGAATTTTCCATCCGTTGCGTAAGGGCCTGAGCGCATGCTGGATTAATCCCTCGTGGGATTGCTCAGCCTCAGCAAGCACTTTTTGAACAGCTATTGATTTTTTTTTTCCTTTTTTTTTTTTCTTAATTAGATTCCTGCAGTTTTCCCTTCCCTACCTTCACCTGCACCGGTTCCTCGCCCTGCGGTCCCCGCCGGCGCTGGGCCACCCTCAGCCTTGCTGGGGCCAGGCACACACGGTTCCTCCCCCCTGCACCCCCTAAATCCCCCCAGGAGGCAGCTGCTGGGGCGCTGCGACCGTGGGGAGCAGACAGGGCGGCTGGAGGAGATGAGCGGGACTAGGGCACAGTCTGGGCATTCAGCGGCGGGCATCGGAGCGGTTCTGGCTGGGGCTCGCGGTGTAATCGGAGAGATGCCTCGCGTGCCCCTGCGCTGCCCGCACGCTGCCTGCACCTTGCAGCTGCCCCATGCCCCGGCACAGCTGCCTGTTGCGGGGAGCGTCGCCGAGCGGTAACTCCCACCTGGGGCTGGGGGCCTGTCACCACCACTGCACATCAGGGACCGAGCTGGGGACAAGGCTTTGCTTTACGGGGTGATGCCCACCTGGAGCACACGTGTCCGTGGCTTCCCCCTCCCGCCCCCCCAGCCTTCTTCGACGTGCTCTGCCCACCTTGTGCGTGCAAAGAGCAGCTCCCGGTGAGGGTGGGATGACAGTGCGGTGGCCCGGACGTCCCCTGCCTCCCACTGGCAATTGCACGCAGCTTGGGGCTGATCTTTTTGCCGGTTGACTCTGCTCTGAGAACCGCAGCCGTGCCATGCATGCCCATGGGGCGTGTGCTCTCTGCTTTGCCCTAGCGCAGATCTCCGCTCGCCAGCGAGCCCATCGGGTGGGCTGGGGGAGCCGCTTCTCCGGAGCTGTGGGTACCAACAGCCAGGAGCACCGCTGGTTTTCAAGCAGCCGCTCTCCCGCATGTCCCATTGTGCGTGGCTCACTTGCTTAGCCAAAGCGAGGTGGTGTATTTGGGGCGTACGTTGGTGTCGGTGTGTCCAAGGGAGCATGTGGCCGGTGTTGGTGTTTCACATGAGGACGTGCCGGCTCGCGGACACGGTGGCATGTGTGACAGTGGCGGTGGCAGTGGCATGGTTGGGGCAGGGGGAGGCTGCAGACAGGGACCATGCGTGGCGATGGGAGCGGGCTGGAGAGCTTTCTCCTTATCTCACTAATCTCCTCCTGGTGACCTGCCAGCGCCTTGTGGGAGAGGCGGGCCGACGGGCA